CCGGGGGTGAGCACTGCCAGCTCCTTGGCCACCTTGAAGTCTTTGGCCAAGCGCACGCACCTGGTCGGGAACCCTGTGAGAGGGCCCAACATGTTTGCCTGGCGTGAGCTGATTAGACCGAGCGCCCGCTGGTCGGCGGCCGCGTTGAAACCTGCGGCCAGAGCGACTGACAGTCCATCCGGGAGGGCGTTGGCCCAGGTGTCCATGGTGGCAACGGAGAAGATCGTCTTGCCTGTGCCGGGGGGCCCGTGTACGATTGTTACGCGGTGCAAGGTGGAGGCGGCGAGGGCCCTTGTAGCATCACGGTTGAGGCTGTGGCGACTGGCTCCTTCGTCGAGGGCCGCATGCGGTGGTAGGTCCCTGGCACGCTGGAAGACTTGTCCGATGGCTTCGTCCACCTCTGGGTCTGAGAAGGGGACGGCAGCCAGGGGCACCGTGGGGGGGTCGGTTAGCGCTGTGCCGGCGTTCGCTGCTGGCCGGCTGGTGCTGGGGAAGCGCGCCTCAAGGGTGGCCGTGGCGCGAGCAAGCAGGGTTTGCCCACGCTGTGATGCGTCGCGCACGTCTTGTCCTTCTTGTCGGCCGTGCGAAAGGTAAGGCGGTAGGTGATGACGTCCAGGGGGGTCCCGACCAGGTCGCATGGAGCCTGCTGTAGCTGTAGATCTTGGTGATTGCGGTGGAGATCCGTCGAAACAGGAGCATGGAGGGGGCCCTGTCCATTCTGTACCACGATTGTCCCACGTAGGTGGGTCTCGGGATCCTGCCATCCGCGTGGAACTCCCCAAACTTTTCAGCGTCGTATACCACAATGCTCTCGTTGCTGGGGAACCTCGACCCTGTCTGAGCCCCAGCACCTGGCAGTCACTTGAAGGTACCGTGCCTCCGAGGTCTGGTGGCCACACGAGCTTGACTGTGGCCACTTGGTCCGCTGCTGGGCAGGTGATGCTGAGGAGTAGCACGCGGGCATCCTGCCCCGCGTCCTGACCTCTGAGGAGGACCCTGAACACCCGAGGCCAGTGCAAGTGAAACAGCACTTTCCCGACCTGGGTGGGGAAAGCGTTCCTCAGCTTAAAGTGATCGAAGACGTCGCATTCTGAATCCTCGTCGATGGGGGCGACTGACACGCCTAGAGTGCAGCTCTGCCTTCTCTCCAGGTCCGTTCTGGCCTTGGTAGAGCTGTCCCAGACAGTCTCGGTGGCGCTGCCATGCATTCGGCCCAGGCCAGCCTTTCGAGGTTGCGCCCCCTTTGCCGCAGGTCCTGCTCCCAGTGCTTTGGGAGGTTCACGCCCTCTGTGATTGTTCCCAGGAGGGTGTGCAGACGGAACTGAGCGGCTGCGCTGTTGGCAGGAACGGAGTATAGCTGTTTGATGGCGTCGGCGGCGGCAACGGCAGACGATTCAAGCGATACCTTCCTTAACTCCGTTGGGGGTGCGCCGTGCTGGCTGCGCTGCTCCATGCTTTCATCAGCTTCGAATCGGGACCTGTCTGCGGACTCCTGAGAGGAGGCCCTGCTGGAGGCGTTGGGCCTGCTGTCTCCTGTGTCGCGCCTGGCTGAGTACTCTGGGTACGGCGCGAAGGGTAGGCCAGGGGTGCCCCAGACGCTGGGCCCCCCTTCGGCGTTCTTCCCCAGGCCCACCTCAGCTGCGTGGGCGGGCGTAGGTCACTGGAGTGGGTTGTGCCGGTGGGGGTGACGAAGTCGTGGCTGTCGTCCCTGTAGGGGAAATTGGCTGGCACATAGTCCCAGTCGTCTGGGAAGGTCCACCCTGGGAGGTGGGGCTGACCATGAACCTTTTTCTGGCGCTGGCGTCTTCCAACCATCCCAGCGGAGCCTGCTGATCTTGCAACTGTGCACGTGGTCGTGCTCCGTCCCGTTTGTCATGGTCCAGAGATTGCCAGGTGAGGTGAAATCCTGTGGGTCGGGCCACCCGTTGTCCCACCGCCTTCGTTCCAGTTCTCCCACGCGAGGAGATGCCCTTTGCCGTCGCAATACCTTTGGCAGAGCTCGCACCACCAGCACCAGTCGCCGTTGAAGTGAGCCCAGCGGAGCCAGGGGTACTCTCGCGCGCGAGGTCGCCCACTCTGACGGAGCCGTCTGCACTGTAAGTGGTGGGTGCGGGCCACCGCGCCGAAGGTCCTAGGTTGCTCTTCCTTCTTGACATACTTAGGGGGTGCAGCTAACCGCCGCAAGAGAACAGGTAAAGTGGGGGGGGGGGGGGGCGCGGCCTGCTGCCGGGAGGACTGCCTGCCTGCGCCGCTGCTGGTATGGCGGGCGCGCGCTGGGGGGCCCGAGTGAGCCCAGGGCCGCGGGCCCGCCGTGCAGCGTCCGGGCGCCCCCTTGAGCACGGGAGACTGGCCCGAGGGAGCCAGGCCCGTGAGATGGCTTGAGCCAAGCTACGGAAAACTGGTGGGGTTACGCGAAGCGTCTAGAATAGGTAGAAACATTCCGTAGAAATGCGTCGGACATTTGTTGGAGCTCTTCCCACCTCCGGAAGAGGCGGGAGAAGGACACACACACACACACACACTCGATCCTTGAAATGGGTAGGCGCCTAAAATGTATTGAAATCCGGGGATCCAAGAACACCTGGATTCAAGAATCGATGGACAAGGAGGAGGTCCCCAGCCCACCCCTTACCCGCTGCTCCATGTGCGGCGGGCAGTGTTCGATAGATAAGAAGAGCCAAGAGAAGCAGGCGCGAGATCCCGTGCCGTGCGCTCCTGGCATGGGCCTGTGCACGTGAGGTGCCCCCCCGACCAATTTCCCTGGCAATCAAATTCCACCCGGCGGAGCGAGCACCGCATCCTGACACCTCCGCGGCACAATTGGCAAATGCCCCCACGTAACCGTGGGCTGCGACTATCGCCCCCCGTCTCTTTTTTGGCGAAGCTGTACCACGAGCCGCCCCTGGAATTGATACTCCGAATCCAGAATCCTCAGTGCGGGATCCCAGCAAGACCCCGCTCGGACTCCCGTCGGATTCTTGCAGGAGTCCTGAACGATTCCTGAGGATCCCTGGCGATTCTTAATGGTTCTACAGGATTCCTGAAGGGTTCCTGAACAGTCCTGCAAGATTACTGGAAATTCCTGCACGATGCCTGCAGGATGTTTCACCATTCCCCATGATTCCTGATTCCTTGAAGATTCCTGTGGATTTCCGGGACGATTTCTGAAGGATTCCGGAAGGATTCCTGAGAGATCGTTCGGCTTCCTGCGGATTCCAACGGATTCCTAAGGATTCCAAGAATGATTCCTGACGGATTCCGGCGGATCCCTGAAAGATTCCTGCCGGAATTCTGAAGGAGTCGTAGGGATTATTCCTGAGGTTTCCTGAGAATTCACTCGCCCCCCCGAGGAATTGACAAATTCATGAATGAATTGATCCGGATGCTAACGATTAACGATATCGTTCCGCGGTCACCCCCACTCGGGAATTGACTTATCATGTTTGATGAGTATCGTTTATCCGATCCCCATCCCCAACGGCGTGGCCTGGCCCCCACTGGCCGTTTTACCCCCCCAGATGGGGATATGGGTCGTTCCCTCCGGGTTTCGAGGGGTGTATCCCCAACTGGGGTGGTCATCTGGTGGGCGTCTCGAAGGGGATGGGGATGGGGATGGGGATCGGATCGGCGGCGACGATAGGGGCGAATAGCCCAGGGGCGGGCATTATACGTATTCGCCCGTTAGCCGTTTCGAAGACACAGATCATCGGCGCACCTGAATACATGTATTGCTCTCCCCTGGGCTATTCGCCCCTATCGTCGCCTCTGATCGGATAAAGGATACTGATTTGATGGCGCTACGGATGAATGGGGAGGGGATCGCCAGCGGGAGATCGTGGCGATTGGCTCCAACAATCGCAGCCCGCCTCGCTGAAGGAGAGCCGCATCGCGCCACCCTCGCGGCACGCTCACGCGAGAGTGCCCCCCGCTCCGTGGGCATTCCCAGCGCCCCGCGCGGGCCCCTGGGAGGGACTCGAGAGGAGAAGCCTGTGCTCCGCCCGGTCCCCACCATCTTCTCGGGCGGCGATTGGTGTCCACCGCGGCAGTGGGCGCCCAGTGATGACTACCTACCAGACCACCCCAACCCAACCCGAAGACCCGAATTTGACCCGAATTTCGGGTTGGGGGGGGTACGGATACCATGTTTTTTTCAACGTTCCCCGACCCCCCCCCACTGGAAATCGAGGATAAATTTGGGCCTTCGGGTTGGGTTGGGGTGGTTTGGTGGGTGGTGAGTGACTGCATCGTGCTGAACCCCACCGCCGTTGTGGACACCACGTCCGCGGGAGAACAGATAGAGGGAGGGAAAGGGGGGCATAGGACGAAATACAGTAGGAGCTCGACCACAAGAAACCGTCCACAAGAAACCAACCCCGAGACCCAGAACGTCCATTGATGTTTGGTGTGGGAACGTCACGCTTCCCATAGCGAAACCATCGAAACCCAAGAATCCCAGGGCAGCCTGGAGGCAAGCAGGGTGTTTCTTGGCATGGGCTTCCACTGTAGACGAGAATGTATAGGACGAATTAGGCCTCAGCAGCATGGGTTCGACATTCGGGAGATCAAAAGATGTGAATCCAGATGCATGGCCGTGACAGAATCTGGTTGGAGTGCGAAGACCCCCAAAGAGGCCAGAAAGGTCTAGAGCAAGGCGGATCCAGCCCATGGGACTCCCCCAAAGACGCAACGCCACCTCCGAGATCAGAGAACACATCACATCTGAGCGAGGCAGTACGAGCGTTATGAATCGGGCGTTGGCAGACTTGGGTTTAGTGGGACCTGGTTTAGTGTTGTGGACTGGGGGACGCCTCCCCCGCCCCGTTCCACTAACTGGAACTGCCGTCACCCGAAAAAACACCAGCTACGGCAGACCTGGTTTCGTGATTCTGGCCAATTCAATCAAAGGCTCTGGGGCCCTACCACTAGCCGGGTCCCCTTACCTGGGGTCCTGGCTATACCCGAATGAAGGTCGTGGCGCGCAACCCGTTCCCAGCGTCGGCCTTCAGGATGCGAGTGGCGCGGGACTCGGCGTCGTTGGCCCCAGCATCCTGTGGAACGCAGGTGACGAAAACCCGTGCGAGGATGGCCCAGGACGGAACAAGCGCGAGAGACGCTCATTATCCGTCTCCCCCCCTCATCCTCATCCTGTTCTCCCTCGCACGCCATCGCTATATCGAGCCGCGCGCGGTGGGCAAGCTCGTCTCTCAAAAAGTACCACATACGCCAACGTGATGGACTCCGAGGGGCCCTATACCAGTGGTGCGTCGGCGACGTGATCTGGGCTGATGTCCAGATGTTTGCAAGGCGTCCGACTACCACGCGCGTGGCCTCTGCCAGATGAGACGCTTGCAACATGGTTCTGTTTTCACACGAAATAGTTTCAAGATTTCTTATTTGAGGGAGAAGATGGGAGCGGGCAGCACAAGTCCACAGCTGGCGATAAAATGCAAGTGTCGCTACGCATCTGAAGCCTGGCTACATGACATAATGGTGCGGCTGGAGAGTTCCAGCACCGACGAGATGACGGTTGCATTGAAAGCGGACTTCGCCAACCGTGCGTCGAAGACGCGCACAATGCCGACGGAGAGGAGGAGGAGGAGGAGGAGGAGGAGGAGGAGGAGCAGGAGGACGAAAGTTCTCTACATCAGGGGCCAGCCTCAAATCAAGAATAGACAGGCACGCCCGAAATTAACGGGCTGTCTATCGCAGGCGTCGACCCTCACGGGCCTGCCGATACGAATTCCCACTCAAAACGTATCTGCCAAATCGAGCCAGCGATGCGTTCAAAAGTCGATGACTCCAGCGGTCCATCCAAAAGTCCAACATGTCATGAAACGAACCCTGGTCATGCACAAACGCCCAAGACAGCTCCAAGAGCGAACAGGCGAGAAAACACAAAACATTGATTTTACCTAGGTTTTGGAAGGATTTTGGCATCTTGGGGGGGTCCAAGAGGCGACTCGAGGCACTCTGGAGGGGCGGGGCTAATAAGGAAACCCCCCTTCTTTGATAGATCTCCTCCAAGATGGCCCAAAGAGCGCCCCGAAGGCTCCCAAGAGCGCCCCAAGAGCGCCTCAAGAGGGCCCCAAGAGACCCCAAGAGGCCCCCAAGAAGCCTCCAAGACGTTGCCAAGAGACCCCCAAGAGGCCCCAAGAGAGTCCAAGATGACCCAAGACGGCTCCAAGAGCGAAAAGGCGAGAAAACACAAAACATTGATTTTACCTAGGTTTTGGAAGGATTTTGGCATCTTGGGGGGGTCCAAGAGGCGACTCGAGGCACTCTGGAGGGCCAGGGCTAATAAGCAATCCCCCCTTCTTTGATAGATCTCCTCCAAGATGGCCCAAAGAGCGCCCCGAAGGCTCCCAAGAGCGCCCCAAGAGCGCCTCAAGAGGGCCCCAAGAGACCCCTAGAGGCCCCCAAGAAGCCTCCAAGACGTTGCCAAGAGACCCCCAAGAGACCCCCAAGAGGCCCAAGAGGCTCCCAAGACGGCTCCAAGAGCGAAAAGGCGAGAAAACAAAAAAAAAATGATTTTACCTAGGTTTTGGAAGGATTTTGGCCTCTTGGGGGGGCCCAAGAGGCGACTCGAGGCACTCTAGAGGGGCAGCGCTAATTGGACCCCCCCCTTCTTTGATAGATCTCCTCCAAGATGGCCCCAAGAGCGCCTCGAAGGCTCCCAAGAGCGCCCCAAGAGCGCCCCAAGAGGGCCCCAAGAGGCCCCAAGAGGCCCCCAAGAGGCCTCCAAGAGGCCCCCAAGAGACCCCCAAGAGGCCACAAGAGGCTCCCCGAGATACGCAAGAGGCCCCCGGGACCGCCAAGAGGCCCCAAGGACGGCCCAAGAGGCCCCCAAGCTCGCAATTGTCCTCCTCCTCCTCCTCCTCCTCTTTTTCTTCCTCCTCCCTCCTCCCCCTCCCCCTCCTCCTCCTCCTCCTCCTCCTCCTCCTCCTTTTCCTCCTTCTCGTCCTCCTCGTCCTCGCAGTCCTCCATCTCCTCCTCCTTCTATTCCTCCTCCTCCTCCTCCTGCTCCTCCTCCTGCTCCTCCTCTTCCTCCTCCTACTCCGACGACGACGGCTCCTCCTACATCTTCCCCCTCTTGGGGTATATGGCGGCTCACCCCGCCCTTTGTTCTTCTGCATGCTCCCCCGCTTCCCTCATAACCTCCACTCCCCTGGGACTCATTTCTGGACGGGCTGGTGGGGATACGCGAAGCGTCTAGAATTCCCACTCAAAACGTATCTGCCAAATCGAGCCAGCGATGCGTTCAAAAGTCGATGACTCCAGCGGTCCATCCAAAAGTCCAACATGTCATGAAACGAACCCTGGTCATGCACAAACGCTCGGAAATCCCCCGCGAGCGCAGCTCCAATCGGAACGAAAACAGCAAGCTGTCACGAGGGCAGCAAGTAGAGAAGCGGCAGCGGCAGGGAGAGGGGGGGAGGGAGAGTGCCAAAGCAAACAAAGGACACGGGCTTTCCAACGAGCTCCACGCGCTTGCCCAGCTGTGGAGTTGCACCATTCGGGGGAGACCAGGCCCACCCGAGGATGGCTTGCCGGCGCCCCGCATCCAGGAGGGGAGAGGAGGTGGAACGAGACGACGGGGAGGAGAACTCCGATCGGCTGTTGGGCGCAGCGGGACCCGCAATCCATCGGCCACGCAACAGGGACAGAGAGGACATATAAACGTACACTGCGCAGGGGCGAAGTGTGTGGCGGCATGCCGTCTTGAACACCTGCGCGCCGAACCGAAACAGTGCTAAGCATACGGGCTGGACGCGGCACGGTTCAGGGCGCGAGGAGGGGGGAGGAGGACGAGGACGGAGGAGGGAGGGGGAAATGTCCACCCACGACGAGCGTCTCGGCAACACTACGGGCCCCCAACTGGCCCGGAAAAAAACGCTGCGATTTACATGAGGAGGAAGGGAGGGGGAAGGGAGAGGAGGAAGGACCCGATAACAGGAAGATTGTGCGGCAATCAAAAAAGTCGCCGGAGGGCCGACGAACTGCCATCGACGCAAGCTGCGGGAACCCCTAGCCAGTCGTCGGCTAGGGGCGTCCGACCGGCCGAAAGATCGACGAAATGCCAACGACAAAAGATCCAACCACCGCGGCTTAAAGTTTCGCGACGAATGTCGGACGCGAGCGACACATAGCTTTCAACCAAAAGTGGGGTGTGAGGGGTGTGAAATTCTGGGCCGCGTCGACCCCAAAACTGCACATAGCGTTTTCCTGTTTTTACTCATGGACGATTGAACTGCCTCAACTCAGTTGCCAACTCGCGCTGTATTTCTTCAGGGTAACCATCGGTGGCACGGGTGAGCAGCAGCAGCAGCAGCAGCAGAAAAAACAACAACAGCGCGGCGCCCGCCCGCCGCAAACGCCCGCGCTCGCCGCGGCGTGCCCTCGGACCAGGTCCGGACCAGCCTGGTGCAGCGCGTCGGCCATCAGCGGGCCAGCCCGCGCGGACTGATGCGCCTATCAGTGCACCCGGCACACCGCTACCGCGCGCGCCGCTGAGAGGGCGAGGTGGTCTGCGGGCAGGTTCCCGAACGGCTGGTCGAGCAGCAGGAAAGCGCCGAGGCTGCCCGCCGCGGTAGGGATGGCGAGCCGGCGCCACGCAAACGTGCGCACGACCAGGCAGCGCGCGTAGGTAGTGCTCGATCGAATCCTCCAGCCTGCACCCGGACCCGAAGATGCACTGGCGCTGTTGTTGAACGCGGGCGCACGGGGGGGCCGCAGTCAACAGCATCGCGAGGACCCCCCTGCGCCCGCGAAACACGGACGCGCGGCTAAATGCGCACCGTTCACGGTTACAGGCGCCGCCGCCAGAAACGCGCAGCCGCTGGCGTCGGCAGCTCCCGCAGGATCACCATGTCTTTGCGCTGCCAGCGGGCCACGCAGTGCTCCTCCCGCTCGCTCGCGCTCATCGCCGCGTCCACGGCACCAAGAATCCTTGCAGATTCCATTGGGCGAGGGTCGAAGAGCCTGCAGAACGGGCCAGGGAAGGGGAGCGCGAAAGCTTGGCGCTCAGTCGCATGCCAACCCCCAGGCAGCGGGAAAGAGTGCGCCACGAAACCGAGCCCGGGCACCACGTGCACGCGCGCCGCGGGGAGCGTCAGCTGGAAACCGCATCTGGCTGCCTGGCTGTTCCCCACAAGGGGGGCGCGGAGGACGTATGTCTCCAGAGCCTTGCGCCAGGTCGCGTCCTCGGACTCCGGGCCCGGGCAGAAGCTGAGGTACCAGGCCGAGCTCGCCAGCTTCATGGCGCCCCAACTGGGTGCACGTGCGGCCACCGAAGCCTGGAGCTCTTCGAGCGCCGCCTGGCGGAGCGGACTCAGGACCGTTTTGCCCCAGTTCACGCCGAGCAGGGAAATCTTCTCGCATGCGTGGAAGAGTCGTTCCAGCACGGGCAGGTCCCTGTGGAAATGCTGCGAGACGAGGGCCAAATCGCCTGCACAAGCCCGAGGAACCGTCGCCAGGTGCAGACGTTGTAGACGCCGGAGGAGTAGATCAGAGACGAAGGCAGAGAGGAGGGAGGAAAAGAGGGCAGCCTTGTCTTACCCGGTACCCTCTCCGAGGACGCAAAGCGTGCGCACCGCTGGCCCACCACGACGATCTGGCACATGTTGTCCGTGTAGAGGCCCGTCACGAAACGGAGGGAAATCGGCGGGAGGCCGATCTACTCCAACAGCTCCAGCATTAAGCTCTGATCGACTGCTGGGGGTGCCGCCCGAAAATCAAACAAGACGCATGCCGCCTCCTCCTTGCTGAGCGCGGATACCCGCATCTGAGTGTCGATGTCCAGAACGATGGCGAGGAGCGAGCAGCCCCCGATGAACCTACGTTGTACCTCCGAAGCCCTCTCGAAGAAAATGTCCTGAGGCCGGAAGCACACGGCGTTCGCCGGGATCCTGTTATCGAAGTTCACGACGCTGGTGGGCCTTACCTGGCCTGCGTCGAAGAAGTGTCCGACGTTCTCGTCGTAGCCCGACACCTTTTTCGGCAAGAGGTGAAGGAGTAGTTGAGGTCGGGCAGAGGAGGAGGAGGAGGAGGAGGAGGAGGAGGAGGAGGAGGAGGAGAATGAGGAGGAGGAGGGAGGAGGAGGAGGAGAGGGAAGGGAGGAGGAGGAGGAGGAGGAGGGGAGGAGGAGGATGAAGAGGGAGGAGGAGGAGGAGGGAGGAGGGAGGAGGGAGGAGGAGGAGGAAAGAGGGAAGAGGGTGGAGGAGGAGGCGGAGGAGGAGCAGGAGGAAGGGGAGGAGGAGGAGGAGAAGGAGGAGGAGGAGGAGGAGGAGAAGGAGGAGGAGGAGTTGAAGTCGGGAAGGTGGTTGCGCTGCAGCTCTTCCCCCTCAAGCCCCGCAAGTTCGTCGAGGGTGTCGCCGAGGGTGTCGACGGCAGGTTTCCAGGTTGTCGGCACGCCTCGGCCAGGGTACCATCGAGGGACTCCAGACGCAGCCTGAGGGATAGAAGGAAGAGGCAAGGACGAGGGGGTCCTCGGAGAAAGGGGGAGCAAGCACAGCATCAACGACACGCCATCTTGGAGAGCCCATTCGCGTGCTGCTGCCGAAGAGGCGCTAGATCGTTGGAAAAGACGAGGGAGCATCACGCCGACGGGCGCCCAACTGCGTCGTGCCAGTGATACCCCTTCTTCCTCTCGAAGAACAGAAGCAGGAATAACGGCATAGACATAAACTGTTGGCGCTCCGCGCGGACATATTGGATCCGCGCTGGATCCCCCATCCCTGGCGCGCGCTGCGCGCCAGAGGCGGCGCCGGAGGCGCCGCCTGGGGGGGGGGGGCCGGCGCGGATCGAAGAAACCAGCGCGGAGCGCCAAAAGTTCATGCTAAAACTGTTTCTTCTCCTTCAAAAGAACTCCTGGGAGGGGAGGGAGAAAGCGCGAGGAAAGAAGAGGCACCGAAGCGGCGTTGAGCATCCTTTAACCGACCCCAATCCACATGGGCGTGGCCTGGGCCCCACTGGCCGATTTACCCCCGCAGATGGGGATGTAGGCTGTTTCCTTTGGGTTTCGAGGGGCGCACGCCCCACTGGGACGCTGAGATGGTGGGGGGCCGGATGGGGACGGGGACAGGGGACGAGGATGGTGGGGCCTGGATGGGGATGGGGATGGGGATGGGCCTGGACAGGATGGGGGTGGGGGTCTGGATCGGGATGGGGCCGGGGCTGTGGGGTCTGCAGGGGGGGGGGAGGGGGGGGAGGGGGGGACGCGTCCTCCAGGCGGCGCGCGAGCGCCCTCAGCTCCTCGGCGTCCTGGTCTGCGCTGGCCTGCCAAGGCCCGCGCTTCCCGCCCTCCGCCCTCCGCACAAAGCCGACGACAAGCCCCCCCGATGCTCCCCCCCTCCTCCTCCTCCTCCTCCTCCTCCTCCTCCTCCTCCTCCTCCTCCTCCTCCTCCTCATCATCATCATCATCATCACAACCACCACCACCACCACCATCATCATCATCATCAGCAGCATCAGCATCACCACCACCACCACCATCATCATCATCATCAGCAGCATCAGCATCATCATCATCATCATCATCATCATCATCATCATCATCATCATCATCATCATCATCATCATCATCATCATCATCATCATCATCATCATCATCATCATCATCATCACCATGAGCAGCAGCAGCAGCAGCATTATCACCACCATCATCATCATCATCATCATCATCAACATCATCAGCAGCAGCAGCAGCAGCATCAGCATCAGCATCAGCATCATCATTATTATTATCATCATCATCATCCTCATCCTCATCCTCATCCTCATAAATAGCATTAGCATCATCCTCATCATCATTAGCATCATCAACATCATCAACATCATCAGCATCATCAGCATCATCAACATCATCAGCATCATCAGCATCAGCTTCAGCATCATCATCATCATCATCATCATCATCATCATCATCATCATCATCATCATCATCATCATCATCATCATCATCATCATCGTTTTCATGTTCCTTTTCCTTTTCCTTTTCCTGTTCCTTTTCCTCCTCCTCCTCCTCCTCCTCCTCATCATCATCATCACCACCACCACCACCACCATCATCATCATCATCATCATCATCAGCATCAGCATCATCATCATCATCATGAGCAGCAGCAGCAGCAGCATTATCACCACCATCATCATCATCATCATCATCATCATCATCATCATCATCAGCAGCAGCAGCAGCAGCAACAGCATCAGCATCAGCATCAGCATCAGCATTATTATTATGATCATCACCATCATCCTCATCCTCATCCTCATCCTCATAAATAGCATCAGCATCATCCTCATCATCATTAGCATCATCAACATCATCAACATCATCAGCATCATCAGCATCATCAACATCATCAGCATCATCAGCATCAGCTTCAGCATCATTATCATCATCATCATCATCATCATCATCATCATCATCATCATCATCATCATCATCATCATCATCATCGTTTTCATGCTCCTTTTCCTTTTCCTTTTCCTGTTCCTTTTCCTCCTCCTCCTCTTCCTCCTCCTCCTCCTCATCATCATCATCATCACCACCACCACCACCACCACCATCATCATCATCATCAGCATGAGCATCATCATCATCATGAGCAGCAGCAGCAGCATTATCACCACCATCATCATCATCATCATCATCATCATCATCATCATCATCATCATCTCATCATCATCATCATCATCATCATCATCAGCAGCAGCAGCAGCAGCAGCAGCATCAGCAGCATCATCATTATTATTATTATCATCACATCCTCATCCTCATCATTAGCATCATCAACATCATCAACATCATCAGCATCATCAGCATCATCAACATCATCAGCATCATCAGCATCAGCATCATCATCATCATCATCATCATCATCATCATCATCATCATCATCACATCATCATCATCTCATCATCATCATCATCATCATCATCATCATCATCATCATCATCATCATCATCATCATCATCATCATCATCATCATCATCATCATCAGCATCAGCTTCATCATCATCATCATCATCATCATCATCATCATCATCATCATCATCATCATCATCATCATCATCATCATCATCATCATCATCATCATCATCGTTTTCATGTTCCTTTTCCTTTTCCTTTTCCTGTTCCTTTTCCTCCTCCTCCTCCTCCTCCTCCTCCTCCTCCTCCTCCTCCTCCTCCTCTCCCTGCATACAGTGGGGGCCAGTCCACAAGAAACCTTCCACAAGAAACCCCGCCCTGAGATCCCAGGACGTCCACTGTGCTTCGGTGCGGGAGCGTCACGCTTCCCAGAGCGAAGCCATCGAAACTCAACAAACCCAGGGTCCCCTGGAGGCAAGCAGGGTGTTTCTTGGCATGAGTCTCCACCCGGCTCCCTTCCCCTCGCCTTCACGGGGATCGTCGAGCTGAACAGACTCACCCCCCGAGGGCATGTCTTGTACTTGCATGACAACTCATGCTAATGTTACATGGCATGCTGCGTGTCCTGAAGTCTCGAGCCACATTGGCCATGGATGGACTCTCCGCAACCCACTTTTCAAACATCCATTGGTACTCCCTCTACCGTAGCTGTCAAGCACAGCTCGGTCGGCTCCTCCTAGGAAGCGCGTTCTCACCTGAGACGTGCTAGCGCCTCATTGTCCTAAAAGGTACACGCCAATAGCTGCACTGATGCAGCCTGAATCCTTTTCAACAACCGTGCTCTCGCTTCATCGCCGTGCCAGCTGTTTCTCGAGTTTCTGGCAGCTACGTGGATGGATGGATACTCCATCTGAAACCCGTTACGTAATGTGACGTGGCTGAGCCCCAATATGCCGTTGGTGCGCAACTCTGTGCCTGAAGGGTTCTCGCTGTGCAGGCCCATGGAAGCCATCTCTTTCCATCGGGAGCTCGACGCAGTGAAATACTCACAGCATCTCGGCACGAGAAAAATTGGACGGGAGGGTGTGTTAAGACATCAGTGATGTGCGCTGCGTCCGCTCCGGTCCACCTCCTCCTCCCCTCTTCCCCACCCTCATCCTCCTCGTGTGCCTCTTCATCTTCCGCCTCCGCATCATTCGTCTTCGCCTCGCTCTCATCGCAATCTGAGGCCTGGAGCTCCCGCTGCTGGGCCAACAGCGACTTCAGCTCGAGGTCGCTGTCCATCACCCACTGGGCTGGCCTCCTGTCGTCGCCGACCACCTCCTGCTCCACCATGAGCACCTCCCTCGCCTCCTGGCCTGGCTAAAGTCGGGGTTGATTGAAGAGGACACGCGAGAGGACACAAGACTCTCCCGAGCGCCACATTGCCATGGGAATGTCGAAGGCATGGGTGGCGAAACACAGGACACAAGGGTACCCTCGATTTAGCAGGGCTGACCTACTAAATGACCTCGACTGTACTTGTGCCCACCCCGTCTCTCATGCCTCCTCAACACCTCTGCATTATGAATAGCTTCTCCCTGTCGCACCCCGAAGCTATAGTCGGCAGGGCGGGCTGGGCGTTTCGCCTGAGAATTTCTTACCATTCAACCGTATGCCATTGATCTTCACAGGGTGGGGATGCTAAAGTTCGGGGTCCAGGGGGTATAATAAACTGTTCCTTGCAGGTCGCAGCGCAAAGGACGTTGAGGAGGAGGATGAGTTTGTTGTCGATGATGATGAGGATGCTGATGCTGATGCTGATGCTGATGCTGATGCTGATGATGATGATGCTGATGATGATGATGCTGATGATGATGATGATGATGATGCTGATGATGATGATGATGATGATGGTGAGGAAGAGGAGGAAGAAGGAAAGGGGAAGGGGTGGGAGGAGACGATAGTCGTAGCAATGGTAGTAGTAGCAGTAGTAGTAGTTGTTGTTGTAGGGGAGGGAGGAGGGAGGGAGTGAGGCGGAGAGAGGGAGGGATTTCGAAAAAAACAGAATTGCAAACCTATCAAATTCCGCTTGGAAAACCTATTCATTCAGAAAGGTGTTCAAGTCCTCACGTGGGGGTTCATCTCGGGCATTTCCCGGCGATTGTTAGCCGCGAAGGTAAAAAGTTCGCACGTGGGGGCAGGGACGGTAGTAGTCGTAGTCATAGTAGCGGATGAAAAGAAGAATAATGATGATGCAGTAATACTAGTCGTACTCGTAGTCGGAATAGCAATAGCAATAGAAGAATGAGAATAACAATAAGAAATAATAGTAGTAATAGTAATAGTAATAGTAATAGTATTAGTAATAGTAATAGTAATAGTAATAGTAATAGTAATAGTAATAGTATAAGTAATAGTAATAGTAATAGGAATCGTAATAGTAATAGTAATAGTAATAGTAATAGTAATAGTAATAGTAATAGTAATAGTGAGAGTGATAGCAATAGTAATAATAATAGTAATAGTAATAGTAATAGTAATAGTAATAGTAATAGTAATAGTAATATTAATAGTCGTAGTAGTAATAATAATAGTAATATTAGTAGTAGTAAAAATAACAACACTAACAACAGTAATAGAAGTAGTAGTTGTAGCAGCAGCAGCAATATCAGTAATAATAGTACTTGGTGATAGTGATGATGACAATGATGATGCTGATGATGATGCAAATGCTGCTGATGTTGATATTGATGTTGATGTTGATGATGATGATGATGATGATGATGATGATGATGATGATGATGATGATGATGATGATGATGACGACGCGGTGAGAAGGTTCAACCTACGATTCGCAATTTCCTGGGAGCTAAAAGAAGTTCGGCCCCGCCGCTCCCCACCGACGACCAAAATGACATTGGCCGGAGATAGTCAACCCTCATCAGGTTTTTGGGGGGATGCTTTAATATCAGGGCCATGCGGTTATGTGCCTGATGCTTAGATATTGACAACTTTGACAGTTGGAGGGCGTGTCGCTTCCCAAATGTCGCTCTCGCCTCAACGCCGCGAACATTCGCTTTCAACATTCGCACGAGCTTCACGGAATGAGGGCGGGTGGTTTTCAAAATGTGGCTCTCGCAGCAGCGCCGCGCACATTCATTTCAAAAACCTTCACGAGTTGCACGGATTGGGGGCGGTCCGATTTCAACAGGTGGCTGTCGCCTTTGCGCCGCGCACATTCCTGAAAACAAATTGCAAGAGTTTCGCTGTTTATCCTGGTTGCTAACCTTGTAGAAGTTGTGTTTTGAACGCTTCTGGATTGTCAGGGCACAATCGTTGCGTTGATTCGCGATGTTGAAGCTCCAGGAATGATGCTCTGGCACGATTCCGGATCATCAAAACGCAACAGTCTGACTCGTGGCCGCCCAATCCTCAGAATGGTTTTTTGGCGCGCTCCAAGATTTTCACACGGTTGTCTCCCCAGAGGGAGCTTGGAGGGTGGGTGTATCCCAACATCGCTGACGAGTCTTGGGCCTATGCACTGGCCCTCCTCCCCCCGGCCTCCTGTAGGGGGCCACGTGCGAGCCCTACCCCCTACCCCTCACGATTTCGGAGGGGGAGGGCGGGGTTCACTTCGCTCGGGAGCTCCCGGACGAAGTGAACTCCACCCTCACCCTCCGAAATCGTGTGGGGTAGGGATAGTCTATGTTCGCATGTGGCCCCCTATCCTGCCGCCCGCCTGGTCCCCTCGGCCCTCCAAGGGATCTGCCTCCCGGCCTGCATCCGGGAGGTGCGCAGGACGGCACGCGCAGGAGCGGGAACGCCCCATGGAACCCGCCTCGGAGGTCTGCGAGGGCGAGGTGAGGGCCCCCCAAAAAACTGAGCATTTTCTTAGGATGGAGGGCTCAGGGTGAAATCCGTATGGGCTTTTGCACCTCGAAAACCCGTCCGTCTTGTGATTCGCCTTTTGCAAAGTCAAGCCTCGAACATCCATCGAAACAGCATTTCAGATTTCGCCATTTGGCCTCCACAGAAAATGCTCGGAAAAAGGTCCCCGGAGCTCTCTGGAGGCACCCAGAGCCGCAAGATGGCAGCACGCAGCAGCAGAAGCACGCCCCCTAACAACACGATCGTCGATCCTCGGTAATCCTTTTCCTCCTCCTCTCCTCCGCCGATCGGTGGTGCAGGGAGCTGGACAAGCTCGAGGGACGGGACCGGACAGTCGGGGCCACGGGGCCACAGAGACCAGCCGTCCCGAGGGAGGCAAGCCGCAGGGCAGGCAGAGAGGAGTCGGCCGGGCAGGGCTCGGGCGTCTCCCCCGGACCTCCGAACTTTTGTCTTCTGGCGCAGGCCCGGCCTGGGGGTGTCAAAGATGGGCTCGACGGAAAACTCTGATCCCGCAGTCCGCAGGGGTGGGAAACGCGAGGCCCGAACGGCCATGGCGTTAACTTTGCGAAGAGCAGACAAAACTCTACAATCCGCGCACTCCATGTGGCAGGTGCCACCATGGCATGTACGGCCCCATGGAGGGAGTCGAGAACTCTGATACCAGAAATTCAACAACTTACTCGACGCGGACGTCGGCAGACGTTCGTACATGTTCTACCGCGTCATTATTCTGAGTGTCTGAGTAGCGGCGAGTCTGTGTGAGCGAATCTGAAAACACGCAGCTGACCATGACTGAGTCTGAGTACGAGCGACTGAATGTGAATGGGTCGGGGTGCTAATGAGCCTGACTATGTCTTGACGACTACAAAGTATAACGACTCTGATTATGAGTGAACTTGAATGTAACTGAGGCGGAGTATGATCAAGTCTGGAAATTCGCGATGGGATCCTCTAACTTTGGCGTCTGGCAGGTCCACACCATCTGGGCGCGAACGGGCCCGTGTCACAGTCCCCAGCGGCTCCCCATTGGGAGGCACGAGTGCAATGCCTGCCACATCGCGGAGATCGTGGGGACTCTGAGAAGATGGCTCGTCGGCTGGGCCAACACGGGCGTCTCGCCTGAGATGTCTCCACCATCTGGGCGCGAGGCCTGTGAAACTATCACATGCCATGCCTGCTGCTCCGAGAGAAGACTCGCCAACTGGGCCTGAACGGGCGCTTCCCCTCAGAGGTCCCCGCCATCTGGGTGCGAACAGGCCAGTGAAACAACCTTGGTCCATACACATCATCTGGTGGCTGAAATGCGATAACTGCTACAGTCGAGTTGACCTAAGGAACCCTAAATCAGGAACGAGGCCCCTTCTTCCCATAGATTCAACCTCGATTCCCCACTGAAAACCTCCGGAAAACCCGAGGCAGACTTTGAAACAGTCAAGGAACACCGAGCCCCTCCCCAACGAAAAGGGCTCCTTCTTCAGCGCCCCGACTGCACATCGCTGGGATCACTGGGCTCTGAAAAAAAAATACCGATCAGCTGCGCCAAGTCGGGCGTTCCGCCTGAGAGGGCCCCACGCTCCGGGCGCGGGCGGGCCCACGAAAGCATCCCCAAGGGCTCCCAGCTTCGCGCTTCGCGCTCCGCGAAGCGCGAAGCGCGAATAACTTCGCGCTCTCGCGCCGCCCCCCCAAAGGGAGAAGAGGAGGACGAGGAGGAGGGGGAGGAGGAACGAGGACCGCGAAGCGCGAAGCGCGAATAACTTCGCGCCCTCGGGGGAGCCCTTGGGTCCACAGCCCCCTTGGGCGGGTCCAATGCCATGGCTCTGAGAAGATGGCCCGTCTACGGGGCCCAGACGGACGTTTTGCTGGAGAGCCCGCCCTCCTGGGCGCGAGCGGGCTAGTGAAGCATCCCCTGTCGACACAGCCCCTCGGGTGGATCAAACGCCATGCCTGCTACATCGCGGTGATCCTGGGGATGGGGACGACGAGGAAAAACTGCACTGGCCCAATACCGGCGTTTCGTCTGCGAGGTCCCCACAAACTAGGCGCGTATGAGCCAGTAAAACAGCCCTGGTCGACGCACGCTTGGGCGGTTCAAATGCCATGCCTGCCACATTGCGGTTTCTTTGGGGGCTCTGAGAAGAGACTCGTCAGCTGGATCAACACGCGCGTTTCGCCAGAGAGGTTCCCATGATATGAATGCGAAACAGCCCCGTGAAACACCCCTGGTCGACACACGCTTGGGTGGCCCAAATCGCCTGTCTGTTACATCGATGCCCAAATGGCATGCCTGTTACATCGAGGTGAGCATCGATCTTTGAGCAGACACTCGTTTACTGGGCCAAAACGGGCGTTTCGCCTGAGCGGTCCGCACAATCTGGGCGCGAACGAGCCCACGTCATACCCCCTGGTGGCTTCCCTCTGGGTGTTCGAAATGCCGTACCTGCTACATCGCGGGGACCGTATGGCTCGGGCAGGAGACTCGTCAACTGGGCCAACACAAGCGGTTCGACGGATAGGTCCCCGCAATCTGGGCGCGAACGGGCCCGTGTAACATCCCATGGCGGCTCCCCCTTGGGAGCCTCAAGTGTGATGTTTGCTACAAGTCGGCGCTGCGTGGACGAACCCAAGTCTGTGCAAAATGGCTCTAAGTATGACAAGCCCGAGTGCGAGGTGAGCGTCTTTTTATTCGGCGTTTCGACATCGGACGGAGGGGGGGGAGGGGGGGCCTGGCTCCGGACCTCTGCTTAATGCGCTGATTGGAACCATGCGTTCTATGGGGGAGACTCCACCCGCTCGAAACAGGCGCCAAAAACAGCCAAGATCTACTCCATGGCGGGGGGGGGAGGGGGGTGCGAGGGCCCGCGCCGATCGGCAAAACAATGAATAAAAAAACTATGTCGAACGAGTCTGAGTATGAGTGCGTGTTTGTGCGAGTGAGCGTATGAGTGATCTGAGTGTAAGCGCGTCTTTGCGAGAGTGAGTGTGTTTGGATGATCAGAGTGTGAGTGGGCATGCGGGTACGGCTGCGTGTGCGGGAGCCTTAGGGTGAGTATGTGAGTCGGTGTGTGTGTGTGTACAACTGTGAGTGGGTCCGAGTATGACTGGATCTGACTATGAGTAGTAGGTTCGAGCGTGAGTGAGTCAGAGCCTGGTCTGAGTAACTCTGACAGTGGATTGGTCATTGTGTGTGTGGTCTAGGTATGGGTGAGTCTGAATATGCGAAAGTCTAAGTGTGAGTCTGAGCATGAGTGAGTCTGAGTATGGGAAGGGAGGAGAAAGGAGGCGTGAGGTAATGGTGAGGAGGCACCAAACTACTAACACAAGACCCATACGACCCAATGTGCCCCAAAGGCAGTATAAGCCAGTCCTGGTATGCCCCATGGCCCACAGACAGCCGCAAGAGGTTCCAATGTAGCCCCGAGGTGGCCTCACAAAAACCGCGACCCCCGAGGTCTCCAGGATGCCGCTATCCATCGAAAGCGTGGTGCTTACAACGATCCTGAGATGCCTCCGGGATGGACGCACGAGGCCCCGACACACAGCCCCAGAGCAGCCAAAGATGATCCAGGAGTCCCAGCCCTTCAAGAACCTCGAAGGGGCCCTGGGACACACGAATAAATAGACACAAATGACAGGATTCCTTATATTCTCAATATTTTCTGGGTTTTCGTCTTCCCCCCCACTTCCCAAATGTTCCCATCTTTCCCTGGGAGTCGACGATTCATTGTGTCTGTGCGTTTGTTCCCCCTCCTGAATCCAGGAGTCCCAGCCCTTCAAGAACCTGAGCTCGCTCAATGAGTCTGGCGTTCTCGCCTCTCCGCTTCACACGAGCCTCAGGGCGCCCAGGTCTGGCCCCAGAATGGCTGCAAGGGGTGGCACGACCGCCACCCAGCGCCCTCTCAACCTCTGCGAGCCTGCGTGCCAATGCCAACAATGATGCAGTGTGGGCCGGCGGACTGCGCGAGATGACTGAAACGCACCAGCAGCACACGTAGGACATGTGGAACCATCCGCCGAAAGGCTGGGACCAAAACCAGCCACTCTACTCCACGCTCAGGGTATCCCCCCATTCTCCAGACCCTTCAACTCCCCTCTTTCTTCGACCCGTCTACAAATCTCCTGGCGCATCTTTTGTGAAACCATTGCGCTCCCTGCAGAGTCGAAGATGGGAACGATTTCCAGTCGCCAACCGATGGTGCTTATGAAAATTCAGACGGGGTCCAGAGGGGGGCATGACGATGGAGAATGACAAGTAACCAACTCGTACATGTGCGAATTTCTTGGATGATGCGTGGCTATTGGAAGCGTCATGTCCAAATACGAGCGAAGACTCTCGGCGTCCGATTCGTCAGAGCAGAAAGAGGCAGTTGTTCCAGCTTGTTTGGCGACCTGGAACCTACCTCACCCATCTTTGCCAGCACGTGCGTGGTAGTGTGATGTAGTTGGTTGCCTGGACATGCGAGCGTAGCGGTGGGGAAGACACTGGATGTATTTGGACCTGGGGCAGCGTCCAACCCTAACTCCCTTAAAACAGCATCAGAGCGAAGAGGAAGACCGAACGAGGGCTCGAAGGTGAAGGCGAGCGAAGCGAGAGCCAGAAAGGCGAGTCTGGGGAGACAAATGATCGCGACGAGCAGGGCTGGGACCGATGTGCTGCTATGATCGGCGATGGGCGACAGCTTGTCGGCGATCGCTGATCATAACAAAACATCGATGACAAGCACTTGTCGCCGCGAGAAGTGCCTGTCACCAACACGGGCCACAGCTGAGCTACAGTGTGACGGACCATGAGCTCAATAACTTAAGAACACAAGGAACATGCGCACGTATTCTTAGATGATTGGAATGCCAGCAAGCATGCCAATGGCGCCCTGGGGCCTTGAGGTTCTTCGGGAACTTGTCCAGCTTGTAGTAGGCGATCTCGCGCAGAAGAGTACTCTTTCCTGCACCATTCCGCCTTCAGAGGGCGCGGACGAGACCAGGAATGCCCCGTCTGGGGTAGAATGCAACACATTCAACCTCTAGGACCGAAGAGACTGGCAAGCAACGCCCACCGTCGTTCCTCCTGCACGTAGCGGGAGTGGTAATTCTGAGGCTGTGTAGCTGTCTGCCTGGGTGTCTAAAGTTGCCTGCAGCTTTCTGAAAGTGTGAAGGGGATGGCGAGGAGGTCCAGGATGGGGAGGGGAGTAGAAAGAGAAAAAGCGCATAAGCATAAACTGTCGGCGTTCCCCGCAGATTTCTTGGATCTGCGCTGGGCCCCCCGCGCGGAGCGCCAACAATTTACATGTATGGCGTTTTGTTTCTTCGAGGGAGGAGGAGGAGAGGGGGGAGGGGCAGGAGAAGATGGAGAGGAAGGAAGCGGGGCCAGAGCGCGCACGCGATGGCGCCCCCCCGTGCAACGTGACGACAGGCGTCACGTGCTGCGGCCTGTCCGAGCGGTGCTCGAGCCGTCGCCGCAGAGAAGAGCACCGAGCTGGCTCAGAGGCCGCTGCCTCTTCGCAGTCCACAGCGGCGCGGGAAGTGACCACTCGCGGTGTGCGCGAGGCCTCGGGACCGAAAGTGGCCCATGCCACGCCCTTCCTGGTCCTCATCCTGCTCACCCGTCATATCATCACCATTGTTGTGTGAAGTCCCGCATGTTGATGCTCCGCCAAAAGACGGCATCACAACAGCCCAAAACAGCCACAAGGCAGCCGGATGACACCTGTAGGATGCAAGGGCCGCGGAGGGCCATGATAGCGTTTGTGAACCAGGGTGGCCAGCGAGGTCGCCAAGGATGGGCCGAAAAGGGGCAAGGATGCAAGGGTAGCCTTGGAAGTCATTCTTACTATGCGACGTGACTGTCGGCCTGGTGAACGTTGCTCCAACAGTCGCCACAGAAAGAACGTGCTGATGGTTCGATGGTCAACAATTTACGGTTCCTGGGGGGGGCAACTGGTCAAACCTTCGTGTTCTTAACATTGTCTCATTATCATGGTGCCACTCATCCCTCGATTCCGCTCCGATCCTCGTACTCTTCCTTCTGTGCTCATCGCCATCATCCTCAGCATCATGCTCATCATCCTTCTACTCAGCCCAAATACTGTTTCACAACCGCCCAAGACTGCCATAACACAACCGAAGTGACACATGCTATGGCCGTGTGGGCGTCGCTCCCACGGAAGCCTCCTAGAATGTCTTTGTATCGCTCGACCGACAACAGTTTATGGTGTTCCGGAGACCTCGGGACAAGAGGTGTCACATATATCGTCATTGGTATTACTCCTCCTCATCATCAATGGCCTCAGGACGGCCTCATTGCAACCCATGACAACCACAAAATGACACATGTGTTTACCGTAAGGCCCCCTCCAGGAATGCATGCGAGATGTGTCACACGTTGACGGGAGCAAGCGATTGAACAAAAAAAGTGGGGAGGACGATTAAAACATAACATCGCCCGCCTGACTGCCCCCACAATGCGTGGGGGAGTAGGCCGACGGAGAGCGGACAATCCCGGGCTGTCTGGGTGGCCGGGGGGGCCCGCGGGCTGACAATTCAAAGCCGTGGGTGTGACAGAAGATTCCTGTTCAGATTCCTACTCCTATTCCTGTTCCTATTTCTGCTCCTTCACCTCCTCCTCCTCCTCCTTCTCCTCCTCCACCTTCTGCTGCTGCTGCTGCTGCTCCTTCTCCTCCTCCTCCTCCCCCGCCCCCTATCCCTCCCCCCTCCTCCCTCCTCCCCTCCTCCACCCCTCACTGTCCTCCTCCACCTCCGCCTCCTCCGCCTCTTCCCTTCCCTCCTCCATCCTGCAGCTGCGAAAATACAGAGCCGACGCTGTGCGTCTGCAGCGCCTTGGTGGACAAGCGAACTCAGGGGGGACGAAAAGAGAATCAGTTCGAACGCGACGGCAGAAAATTGCCGGGGGGCAGACGATTAAAACATCGATGCTGGCGGCTGGATTTGATCAGATTACCGAACTCATTTATGTTGAGGCCCCCGAGGGGGGAAGGGGGGCATCGCTTCACAGAGTGCAGCGCTGGCACGAGTGCCGTTTCTTCGTCGGGCCATTCAGCGGCTCGTGAAGTAACAGCTTGTGATTTCCAGGGAGCCTCGGGATACGAAGTCTCACATGGAACGTCCTTCTTGTCTTCCTCCTCGCAGACCTTCACCTCCTTTGCCCCGGCTCCGCCCCATAACTGTCTCATAGCAGCCCAGAACAGCCTCAAGACGGCCGAGGTGTCACATGCTACAGCCTGTTGGGCGTTGCTCCAACTTTCGCCACACAGAGGATGGAGCAGACGGACGGAGAAACTGAGGGGCGGGGCAGGAGGAACGTGGAGAAAAAAGTAGGAGTGGACGAGCGCGACGCCGAGGACGAGGAGAGATACACCGACAAGGCGCGCAATTGCGCGTCACATGTTACAGCTCTCCTGACCCAAAGACACGAGTTGTCAAACATTACAGCCTCTTCTTTGCCCCCCAGGCAGCCGCTGCCTACAGTGCTAAGCGGACACGGTGACAGGACGTGAACCAAGCAAATGTATTAACCTTCGCATTGCAATACGGGTGCCAGCCCCCCATTCTTTCTCCTGCCCATCCTCTTCGCACACCATGTATTTGCTTCCCCCTCGTTCCCTTCAGCGTCCTCCTCCTCCTCCTCTTCCCCCTCCTCATGCTTAGCTTTCTTCTGCCTCCGTCCTCCTCTTTCCCCTCATCTACTTTTGTCCTCCTACAGGCGGATCTTGGACGAATAATAGATCATTCCCCAAAAAAGATTCGGACATAGTTTTTAATACAACAAAAAACATGGTCGAAACATCGTCCCCAGACTGTTTGTTGACTCTTTTTGACTCTTCCTCCTGTAGAGGGGCAAGCCCGCCTTAAATCGACGCCGGCCAGGAGCGCCCTGGATCGGCGGTCCAGGCCAGAGGCCTCGACCACGCACATCCAGATCCACTGCCCCCCCGGGTCCTGGCCAGCTCCCCAGGCGGTGCGGATGCAACAACTCTAGGGGAACAAATGGCATAGACATAAAAACTCGGAGGTCCGCGCGGATTTCTCGGATCCACGCTGGACCCCCCTCCCTGACGCGCGGAGCGCGCCAGGGGCGGCGCCAGAGGCGCCGCCAGGGGGGTCCAGCGCGGATCCGAGAAATCCGCGCGAAACTCCGAGATTTTATGTTTATGTCATTCTTCGTTCCCCTAGTCTCTGGCCTCGGATCTCGTACCTCGCTTCCCCATGCTCGCCTCGATCACCTCCCTGAAAAGTCTCTCCCTCCAGCTCTCTCGCGTTCCCCCTCCCCTCCCCCTCGCACTTCCGTCCCCTCCCTCGGGGTGAGAGAGAGGGGGGTCATTGAATGATCGAGTGCTTGCGAAAATTGGCAAACAAGCCCATTACGCAGCTGATTCATGCAGCCGGCCATGAACACGTGCCCGCGGAATTCGATTGACGATGCATGGGAAGTCAACTTCGCGACTCGCGCTGGTTGGGCCACTTGATTCCGCAGTCGGTGACGTTAGTTAGGATGTAATTCGTGATATCCTACCAGATAACTAAAAGCTACTCAAGCGAGCCGCGACAAACAACTGGGCGCCGCGGCACGAAAACGGCGCTGGCACGCCCCGGCAGCGGCGGCAATCGCTCCGCCCGACGAGGCCGTAGCGCCGCCCCTGATTGAGCGTCAAGGAGGTGTCCACGAGCAGCTCTGTGCCGTCTACCGATCTCACGTCGATGCCTGCGGGGCAGATCGGTATCATCGCCAGGTCCCCCGACCGATGGACAAAACTGCGGAAATCCCCTGGCCGGGGCGTCCTCCTCACCCTGCCCCCTTGCTCCTCCCCCTCCTGGCCCCCCTGCCCCTATGACCGCCCCCTGTCGGAATCCACGACTCGGGAGGCCACTCCAGCGCTACGGCTCCTGCGGCCTGATCAGGCAAGTCCACAGTACTTTCAGGACCAAGATCCAACGCCAGGGCTCCAGGCGTCAGCCCTGACGACCCCCGAACTCTGGGAGAAGAGGTCCAGGTCGCACATCCAGGGTCCAGGCGATCGCCTCTGGGCACCCCCCTCTCGTACGCCAGCGTACGAGCTCGACCTCTGCACGGAGCATTTGTGAGAGCACCCGCACCGTATGATACCGCGGTGCCGAACACATCGAATTACCCGAAACGCGTGCCGCCCGTACCATCCCTCGCCCAGGCAAGGCGAGCCTCCGCGTGTGCAGGTGCTGGGTGCCAGGGTGTTCACTGCAACTCTTGCCTATCGAATGCTGTTCCAATGTTTTACACACACGCGCCCCAGAACAAATCGGCCCCGAGGCCGAAGTCTTATCAACACCCGTTATTCAGACCACCTCCCGACACAACCTGAACTCATGACATGTTTCCAGTTCGTTCCAGGCGAACGCGAGAGCGCGCACGTAGATTCCGAAGAATGGCACGTCCGATTAGGGGCCGAATGAAGTCATGAAAAGATCCCACGCGGTGCAGGCCCCAACGGAACAAAGAGAAGAGAGGAAGATCCGATAACGGCCAAAAGGCAGCGACCTTAAAGAGCTGCCCTCCACGCGAATGCAATGATCGGCTGATGGCCATCTACATCAAGATTTAAAATATTGCTGCGACACGGCCTCCAGTACGTCATCTGGGACCTGAATGCCGAGGGCATGGGCGTGAGTCCTTAGCCTGGGGCGGTGGGAATCTGGATTTAAAACGATCGGGATCTGGACACGAGAGGTCGGGGGGCGAGGATCTCAGGGCCTAGATCCTAGATTAGAGGCCTCCCAGATGGGGTCCGAGTAGACGGAGTCGGAGGTTCGCGCCGCATCGCCGATGCATCGGCGATGCATCGCCGATACTTTGGCGATGCATCGGCGACGTCGGCGACGCATCGGCGACGTCGACGTGAAGCAAATCGGGCTCCACATCGAGACGCATCGGCGATGCATCGGCGATACAACGCGATCCTCCGACCCCATCTATTCCGACCCCATCTAGGAGGCCTGGTTCCGTTCCCACGATTGTGGGTCGAAAGTGCGTGGTGCTGAGCATGACGGATGTAGGTCCAGGGTCCAAGCGAGCCGATCATGATTCCTCAGTCTCCCATGCTCCATTCTGTCCTCTCTCGTCCTCGTACACCCGCCGATGTCTTCGCCGCCCATGTCATCGCGAGCGTGCTCTGAGCACCCTTGCCGCGTCGTACCCGTGAGCTTGATGTCGGCCTTGGGGGCCCCCAGCTTGGCTCGTGCCGCCAGGTACACCTGGGCGCAGTCGCTCGAAGGTCCCTTGGCTCTCCACCCCCTCCTCCTCCTGCATGGATCTCTGCGTGATACTTATGCCTACCCATGAGTAGAATATCTAGATTATCATGCACAGTGGAAAATTAACCGACCAAACACATCCTCCGACAAGCCCTCGGACAACCCATGCTGATGAATGACGACAAGGCGGCCTACCAAGGACAAGCCCTTGGACAACCCAGCGGGGATCAAGACAACCCCACCGGACAGCCCCCCTTGGACAGGCCTTCACAGGATTATCTTCCATGAGATGAAATATTATTGTGTTGTTCTTTACCGACCGTGAGTCCATGAGTTGATTATTTTCCTCCATGAGATGATGAAGTATTCTCACTGGCGCACAACGAGGCCACTGGGCTATCCAGGAACCAGCAGCTGGGCAGCACCTCTGACCACAGGGACCGACACGGCGCACGGAGAAGCGGCAGGGCCCGGGGCGGCAGGAGCGGGCACGGAACTGCGCGGGAGCGCTGGGCGGCGGAGGGGGTGGCCTGGTGGCGCAGGAAGCCTCGGAGGGGGCGCAAGGGACGGCAGCGGCTGCTCTCGCACGCGCACGCCGATCGCTCCGCTCGCCTCGCTTCGGTCCCGAACGCTCGTCCAGGGCCAGTTCGCTCGACGCTGTTCCGCCGCTCCTGTCGTTCCCTTCCCGCCGTTCCCCCGGCCCCGGTCGCGTCGCGCGCCGGCCGCCGGCCCGGCCGCACTCACACTCGCACCGACCGTTCGAGCATCGTGCTCGGCCGCTCCTCCTCTGTTGCTCCCGCCCTCTCGCGCCGTCCCACCTCGCCCCCTCCCCCCTCCACCATACCACCTCCCCCTCCCCGCTTCCCCCCCCCATCCCCGACCCACACCCTGTCAGACGAAGCCAGGACGAGGACTACTTCGGGGGAGGATATAACCCGAGAAGCTCTGCGATCTGGCGGCTCTGGAGGATGTTTCGGGCGCCGCGGCCTCCTCAGAGCCTTCTGGAACGCTCTAGAACGGATTTATCCTCGCCCTAGCCCCGCCCGATCCCCGTCCCCTTCCCCCCCCGCCTCCCCCTCCCCCTTCCCCCCCCCCCCCTCGCTTCCCCCCCCACCGCCTCCCCTCCTCCCCCTCCCCCTCCCCCTCCCCGCCTCCCCCTCCTCCACTGCCTCCTCCACCGCCTCCCCCACCGCCCCGCCCTCCCCCACTGCCTTCCCCCCTCCCCGACCGCACCCGGACCCTAGCCCGCTCCTTGCCCCCCCCCCGTCGCAGGCGGGCCGCTTGCACGGCGGGGCCCGTGCTGGCGCGCCCAGGGGGGGGCTGCGGGCGCCTGGAGAGCCTTCTCGGCCTCGCTGGGGCCGGACGCCGCCTTCACGTCCCTCTCGACCTTGGCCTCCGCCTTCTGCTTCTCCTCGGGCGCGCGCGGAGCCCGGAGGCGATCGAGACTCACAGGAAGGGGGCCGGCCTCGCACCCTGCACAGCGGACGACGGGTTGGCCACTGCAAGTGCCGTCTACGAATCACGGCCAGCTTCGACGCGGGCTTCGGCGAGTTGGAAAGGGACGTTGGGACGGGATGTCAGATGTGGCGCGGTTGCAACCAGCGTGTCCATCCGTCTGTCCCCCTCCCCTCTCACAGGTACACACACGCACACGAACACCTAGAGAAAGGCAGGGCCGAGGAGAGAAAGGACGAGATGCGGATTGGGAAGGGCGCAGGCCCTGGGCATCTCTGGGCATCTGGGGGAAGGTCCTTGGCCATCCTCGCCTGCTCGTTCTTGGCAGACAGCCCCTTGATCTGGCCGTTCTTCCCCTGGACGTTCACGTATCCATCCTCGACGTGCCAAATCTCCTCGCAGGTGGCCTCTCCGCGGCTGCCGGCCGCCGCCGCCGCCCGGGAGTCCCAGGGGGGAGCTCGCATCCGCCCGGGCAGAGGATGCAAAGGCGCCCGAAATGAGGCGCCCAGTAGCAGGGGGAGACGAGTGCGTTCCGGATGTTGGGTTCCGCTTGATATCATCGCTGTCTTGCAAATCCTCCTCTTCATCTCCCGTCCCCTCGTCTGAGAGCGACGACGACATACATGGCCAATACACGAACTATTGCTGATCGCATGCGTCAGACCATTCCACAACCCGTCGAGCCTGCAAGAAGTCCTCGTTGTGGGTCACCACGATGGTGCCTCCTCGGAAGAGCTGGATGGCACGACCGAGGGACTTGACGGTTTGGAAATCCAGATAGTTCGTCGGCTCGTCAAAAGCTATCCGCCATGCTCCCTGAAGGAGATACATGTGGCCAGGTCCACCCGACCCAGAAGGAGAACAAAGGGAGGCAGGAGGGGGCATGGAGGGGAGGAGGGGGAGGAGACCGAAGGAGGGAGAGGGAGGAGAGGGGGGGGGAGAAGGAAGTCTGGAGGAGAGGAAGGATGGACAGAGAGAGGAAGAAAGGGGCGAGGAGCAGGAACGGCAGAAGGGAAACCGGGGGCGGAGGAGGGGTGGAGGGCCCGGGCAAGAGGAAGGGAGGGGCGCAGGGAGCAGGGATGCATCTGGCCAGGCGCCGCCTTCGGAGGAAGAAAGAGGAACCCATACCGCTACCCCTCTTTCGTTTTCGCAGTGTTGGACCTCTTGCATAGGCTTGCAGCAAGAGTGCAGATGGGGCGGGGACACACGGGGGGGGCAAGCAAGCATGCAAGAGTCAAATTTTTGAAGTTTGGCGGCGAGGGAAACGTATGGCTCGCGCCTGGCCAAGATCATTGTGCAGCGTGCGAGCGGAACTCCGCCGCTCTCGCACACGCTGCAGACGGCAACGCCACGGACTGCAGCACGTCGGCACCGTGCCCTGCGACAGGCGCGACGGAGGTGCACATCGAAACGCGCACAACAGTGCGATGTCTTGGTGAACGCCACAGGCTGTCAAACGCCACCGCATGGTTGTCAATCGGTGGCGTGGCCAGAAACCCTCCGAATTGGGTCACACACCTTAGCTTGCCCCACGAAGTGCCTCTGCCCGCGAGCGCCAGCCGTTCCCCCCCCAGAAAAAATGGAATGCAATTACCCTGCGACGTACCCAACCCAGCGGCACCAAGGGATGATCTAAGGTGTGCCGACACTATAGTGCAACAGCAGCACTGCAACAGACGGTGCACGGCGCATGTCTATATCGTGCGAAGTGAGCGCGGCCGACTCGCAGAGCAGAGGCCCCGTGTGGATCTGCGTTGGGCCCCATTGTGCTGTCCCGCCCAACAGCCCTCGAAAGTGGCGACAATTTCACACTTCGCAGCCCCACGCAGGGATGGCGAGGTCCCGTTTGAATCTGCGTGTGGCCCTGTGTACGGCCAGAAATGCGACCCCACGAAGGGCGGCGCACCATTTGCTTCCACCGCCCCCTTGCCAACGCAGCACGCAGCGGGGACGCCGCGGGGATTCGCGCGGACCGCGGGGGCGTCCTGCAACATGCGCCCCACAAGGCGGGGACGCTATGAAAGCACCAACAACGTCCAGGTCCCGCTCAGGCAGCAATCAAATCGAGCGACTCACTTCACGGATCGTGCCACTTGAGCACAATGCAACATGCGATGGGTCGCGCGCGCAAGGGTGACAAGCAACGAAAATCTCACAATGCGTTGCACAAAAATGGGCCCCAGAAAAAACGAAGCACACAAGTCAGATTGAGTTATTCCATGGGCGGAGTTGCGGGAACATGCACTCGCAGCGCATGGCCAACGATCAAATACTTGAGCCAACAAGGCTACGCGATAGCGACGACGATGGACACTTGACGGCAATTGAAAGCCGCAAAAACAATGACACATCATATCCGCCGCGCTTCTGCGGCATTGGCGTGTTCGAGTGCCTTTGAACTGTCTGGCAGGGCTTCTGTAGAGGCCCGCTAGATGGGGTCCGAGTAGATGGGGTCGGAGGATCTCGCCGCATCTCCGATGCATCGGCGATGCATCGGCGATGCACCGGCGATACATCGGCGATGCACCGGCGATGCACTGGCGACGTGGGCGATGCATCGGCGCCGTCGACGTGAAGCAATTCGGGCCCTACATCGACCCGCATCGGCGATACATTGGCGATGCGGCGCGACCCTCCGACCCCATCTACTCCGACCCCATCTAGGAGGCCTAGATTCTGTGACCCCCACACCCTGCCGCCACAGAGCGCCGCGTGCATCGCCCCTTTCCCGAGGCCCCCCTGAACGCCCCGTCGCAAACCCCAGCGATCTCCCAGGCGCCCAAGACGCCCATCGGCACGAACGAAATGGGTACGGAAAGAATGGGCACAATGCCCAACAGCAGTTGCTGTTCATTTCGAACAGGACTCGCTGTCCGCGCCGCCGCGACCTGTGTCCATTTGATACAGAGGGCCGCCTGCCCAACAGCGGTCGCTGTTGATTTGGGACAACATTTGTTGTTGGGCATTGTAACCATGTTTTCCGTACCCATTCCGGGCGTCCAGAGCCCAAGATGGCTTCGAAAGAAAACGGCCCCAGCAGAGCCCCAAGGCCGCCAAGACAGCCCCCTCGGCGCGAAAACCCTGACGGCGTCACCTCGATTTGGGAAGGGGGGCGCTCTGACAAGTAGGGGGGGGTCGTCGCGACGCCGAGGCAAAACGCGCGACGGTCGCAACGCTGGCCGTTCCCATGTGGCCCCACTATGCTGTCCCCCCCCCCCAGCAACCCTCGGAAGTGGCGACAATTTCACCCTTCGCAGCCCCCGAAAGGATGGCGAAGTCGCGTTTGGATCTGCGTGGGGCTCCACTGTGCTTGCTCCCCCAGCAGCCTTCGAAAGTGGTTACAGTTTCACACTTCGCAGCCCCCCCAGGGATGGCGAGGTCCCGTTTGGCCCCACTGTGCTGGCTCCCCCAGCAACCCTCGGAAGTGGCGCCCGTGCCCTGGAGCGGCCAGCGAGAAGCCTGCCACCCCGCGCAGCGCCCTCAGAGTCCCGAGTCGGCCAGCTGGTCACGCACATGAGGAGTGGCTCTCTGGCGAACACCACATCCACGCAGAGCCGATTGCAATAGGTGGGGGCCGCTTGAACTGTTGCAGCCCTTCTGAACGACTGGGTCCTCGAACGCCAACTACTGCATTGTCGCGCCAATTATTGCATTGACACGCCAACTAGTGCACAACTAGTGCTCGATTGAACACGCACAAACGTCACCGCGGTTCCCTTGACAATCGGAGCAGGGGAGACCTGTGTTGCTTGCACGGCCCGGGGGCTCAACGTATTGGGCTACGCATGCTCCCGCGCCAATTTTCCCTCTTCCCTTTTCTGCCTCCCATTTCGATTCCTATTCCTCCACCTCCTCGTTCCTGTGTTGCTTCCCTGCTTCCTGCCCTCCTCCACCCCTCCCGAGGCTCTGTCCACCCCAATCCAATCCAATCGTCGCGTTCCCCATCTTGCTTTCTGCCCTGCCGCCCGCCTTCCTTTCGAAGCACCTGGCGGCGCTGTTCCCAAGGGGGGTCAGCCAACGGCTGGAAACACATGTTGGTTCATCAGGGCGACCGAGTTCACAGAGCCCCTTCACCCCATACAGTCAACCCGTATCATGAAGATACGGGGTAAGGATGCAGGGGCCTTGCAGGGCCCGGTTGACGTTCTTCGAACGATGCTAGCCAGTGAAAGCCGCTGAGGATTGGCCGAAGTGTCAAGGATGCAAGGGCACCCTTGGGAAGGCTGCCCATCCTTACTCTGCGGGTTGGTTGCAGCCACCGACGACACCACCAATTCCCCGATAAGGGCTCGGCGGCTGAAATTGAGCAGGGACCGACCGTCCCGGCACTCCTGTAGTCCTACCACGAAATGTTCTTTGAACCCAAAAAATATAAGAACAACAACCATGTTCTTAGAACATAAGCACGATGTGCTCAAACAAGACAGTCCCAGCCAGAAATGTTCCAAGAACATTTCGTGGAAACCACGAAAGGTTCTTATAACATTGTCTGGTAGGCCTATAGGCACGCCAGGACGCTTCGCCACTGCTTGATACTGTGCGAGGTGGCTGCAGCCACCGACGACACCACCAACTCCCCGATAGGGGGTCGGCGGCTGGCAGAGCCCTCGCGTCGGCCTGGGCAATCGCCGGCCACGAGTCCCCCCAGCGCCTCCCAACCCACGACTCTCGAGAGCTCCCTGAGAGGGGCACGCGGCCGCCTGGCCCCTGCAAGGCGGGCCTCCTCGACGGCTCTCTCAGCGACGCCCCTCGCGTCGTGAAGTCTGCCGGCGGATTCCGCATTTCCGCGTCGAGCCGTAGCCGAATTCACACGCCGAGCTCGATTCTGAGCTCCGCCCGCGGCTTCCGCCACGACCCCCGCCCCAGCCAGGCTCGACCTCGGTCCCAGCGCCGCCGCCAGCGCCAGCCAGAGCCTCGCCCTCAGTCCCGGCCTCGATTTGGACGTTCTCAGCCGACCCAGCCATCCCCACCCCCCCCGCCTGAGCCCCAGCTCCAATCTCAACGCCACCGTGTGCCCCCGCCGCGCCGTAGCCTCGCACCTCACCCCTGGCCCATGCCGCGCCCCGGACGCCACCCACATGGATGACCTGAATTTCAGTCTCGCCCAGACCTGGCCACGACCCCAACCGCGACCCCAGCGCCAGCCCAAGCGCCCAGGGCCAACGGCCCCGGCCCCAGCCGCAAAGTCCCAGTTTCGGCCACATACTTGCTTTTCCACGGCCTCGGCTTCTGTGTCGGCCTCAGCATCAAAGTCGGCTTCGGCCATATCCCGATCTCAGCTGCGGCCTCGCGGCGGCCAACCAGCGCGCCACATCAGCCAGGGCGCGTGCTGGCCGAGGCACACTCCCCGACATTGAAGCGCCAACGGTGTCAGCTCCATACCAAGGCGAGGGGGGCGATTCCCGCCTTGACGTCGCGGGGCAAGTTACATACACTATGCTACTTGCTCGCGCGGAGAAATTGCACGCCAAGGAATGGCCCAACAAGGATGAGAAGATACCGAAACATGGGGGCGATGCGGCCGCCGACACAACGTCATGGTTACGTATTGCACAGCTGCGCGCAGACACTGCGTCCGAACCGTGGCGCTCGTGACAGCTGATAGAAGTTCCAGCTTGGGGGAGTCACTGTTGCGAGCTCTTGCGCCCACTACTCTGCCCCCCGCTGCCCCCCTCCCATCGGCACTCCTCGGTCGAGGCCCTCGTCGCCACCGCTGGGCTCGGCTCGAGACCCTGGCCAGAGCGCACCCCCGGAGAGGTCCAGGGAGCCGCGGCTGTCGGCACCTCGGGGCTCCCCCGCACCAGTCCCCCGGCGCCTGGGAGGCGCCCGTGTGCATCGAGGCGAGGCGCCCGGCGGCGGGGCCGAAGCCGGTGTTGCACGCAGCAGGTGTCGCAAGCCGCGTGTCCCTGTGCCCCCGCCCGGTCGTCCGACCCGATGCCCCTTGGGAGGGGGGGGGGCGCCTGTGCAGAGAGCAGGACAGATCCACCCTCGCAGGAATCGCCCCGACACGCGAAGCCGCCGAGTAAACGCGCCCACAGAAGGCATCGAACAGGGCAGGGCCGTCCAGTAAACGCGCAGGGCCGCTTCGCAAACGCCACGCGTCGGGTCCGGATCTTCCCTCGACTGTGCCGCAGCTGGCGCTCCTCCGAGGGGAGGCAAAATCGCAGCGCGGGGCCCAGGCCAGGTGGCTGCCACGAAGCGGCCGCCCCCCCTGCCTAACGCGCGCCTCGTCTCCATTCCCGTATGGAGTCTCACGAGCTGGGGATGGCCCGCCACCGCGCTTGCAGCGCCCAACGTTTGTCGCATGTCGGGCCCTTGCCTTGCTACGTCAGCTTGCGCCTCTTACGACTAACACATCAAGGGGCCCGACGCATTGATCCCGGCATGCTCTCGTTCGGGGGACGAGGTCCCCGCGCTTGCTGCGCTCCACGAACAGAGCACTCAAACATAAACATCAAAAATTCCGCGAGAATGCGTTCAATACCCATGCCCTTCTGATCCTAACCCGCCCAACCCACCACCACCCCGAGGTCCCCCTGCCCCCCAAGGCGCACACCCAAGAGCGGTAGCGGATTCGCGCGACAGCCTGAGTGGATTACCTGAGATATGGCACCTCTGGTCTGCGATGTCCCCCCCCCAAAGCACAAACGAGGTGCGGCGACGCAACGGCGCGCCCAAAAACTGTGTTAGCCCCGCCCCTCAAAAGCTCGCGACTCTGTGTTGCTGCTGACTTATCGTGCACGCGTCAAGTGTGCTGGGCACTCGTAGTTGTGCAAGGGATGGCATGTGATGGCGGCCTGAGTCTGCACCTGAAAAGAAATTGAAATCGAGCCACATAAAGCGAAACACCTCCCCGACCCGCAAGCGCCCGGGGTCGCCGCGGTGTCGCAGCAGATGCTACTCGAATAACGTGAGGTTTCGTCCACATTGACGCTCCGAGCATCAGCTTACTCTTCTGCCCGGCCGAGAACCCGCTGATCATGCGGTGCGTCGTCATGTCCTCGGACGCGGGGAGGCGTCAAGAAACACGCAGACATGCGAATCCGTATATCCCAAGCACAACACATATCTAGGGGGTGCTGCTAGTCTAATCCTGGCATGGTCAGGTCCTGGTACCGTCCTACTTTGGTGACTCTGGCAGAGGTACATGAAACTACTGCCGAGGATATCCGCCCAGCCTGACGGCGTGTGCGAGAGCTTCATCGTCTGGACCTTTTCCCCCCTTTCCCTGTAGCCACCTGAGGCCTCCTCCTCCTCCTCCTCAGGCGCGCCAGCCCCACAGGGAATAGAGCATTGTCGTAATCGAGTCGAACGGAGGGCAGTTCAATCCATCTCCCCTTTTCGATCCGCTGGGAGGGGGGTCCGGGGTCCTTGGGCGGAAGGGGGGGGGAGGGAAGGGGGGGCTGGCTCTGGACCTCTGAGTGGCGCGACTGTGAGCAGCGGCGCGTCTGAGGGGGGAAACTCCGCCTGCTCGAAGCAGGCGCCACGAGCAGCCAGGAGCTGCTCCGTGGGGGTGGGGGGGGGCCCTGCGCGGGCCCGCGCCGATCGGCAGCACAGTGAACAGGAAGCAGATCACCTCCTCGGGCCCTGCTGCTGCATGCGGGCGGGAGACGCCGCCCAGAGCTCGAGGAGATGCGCCTCGCCCCCGCCCCTCCCCCCCTCGGCGCCGCCCGGCCCGCAGCCCCACTCCCTCTCCCAACGCTCTGCGGGCCTGCTGCGGCGGAGGAGCGAGGTGCCCAGTGCTTGTCAGGCCCTCCTCCCTCCCCTCGTCCAGCCACTCCCCCCATACGACCTTCCGCGCACCCTCCTCCTCCTCCTCCTCCTCCCCCTCCTCCTCCTCCTCCTCCTCCTCCTCCTCCTCCTCCTCCTCCTCCTCCTCCTCCTCCTCTTCCTCCTCCTCCTCCTCCGCCTCCTCCTCCTCCTCTCCTCCTCCTCCTCCTCCTCCTCCTCCTGCTCCTGCTCCTGCTCCTGCTCCTGCTTCTGCTTCTCTTCCTGCTCTTCCTTCTGCTCCTGCTCCTGCTCCTGCTCCTCCTCCTCTCCCCCTCCTCCTGCTGCTGCTCCTCCTCCTGCTCTGCTCCTGCTCCTGCTCCTCTTCATGCTTCTCAGCCTGCTCCTCCTCCTCCTGCTCCTGTTCCTCCTCTTGCTCCTCCTGCTCCTCCTCCTCCTGCTCCTCCTCCGCCTGCTGATCCTCCTCCTCATCCTCCTCCTCCACCTCCTCCTCCTCCACCTCCTCCTCTTCCTGGCATCCTCCCCTCCCCTCGTGGGTATGTACCCTTTTCTAGCTCCCGGCACGGCAGCCCGTCCTCGTTGATGCCGAAGGGCTCCAAGTGCTTCACGATCTCGCGCGTGCTCAGAGGCCTGTGGGGATCACCCTCCCACGACGGACCCCCCCACGCGACACTACCCCGCCGCACTGGACCTCTCGCAGGGCGTGCTCAGAGCGTTTGTCCAGTTAGTTCACGCAGATTGAAAGCAGCGCCGTGCTATAACTCTCGGCAAATATGCTCTCACGAATTGGCACAACATCGATTGAACGCGTGGGAATTCATAAACCGTGAAAGCATAAATGTGCGTCTCCAAATTGCGTGTCGGCGGGCGCAGGTTGCATCACGTACCGAAGCCCTCGCAAACGCGGATATGGGTGAGAGCCCCCCCCCGCATTCATCATGCTAACTATTTGCCACAGTACCGTAGGTACTGAGTGGAATGACCTCAAGTCTCGTCGAGTTCTCTGTGTTGAATATTGAAATATACCACCTGTGCCGCGAGGCACTGAGAGGACTGTCCTCGGGTTCCTTCTAGTTCTCTGTATTGGATCTTGGCTTGCTCGCATGGCCTCTTGGGCTTCCAGCATGACTTCGCGATGGGCCAAAAAGACCAAGTACGGCCAAATATGGTCCACATAGACCTCCCAGACGGTGCAGGAGGGTCCCGAGGCAGCCCAAGAGCGCCCCAGGACGGCCCAAGCCGGCCTCAAGACGGCCCAGGAGGCCCCCAAGACGCCCCAAGAGGGCTCCAAGGGGACCTCCCAAAGCTCCAGGAGGCCCAAATCTGTAATGTTCCGTTGGTTGTCGAATGACTGTAGCGTTCTCGCCTTTTCGGGCTCCCGCCGCTCCGAGACGGCCCGAGAAGCCCCCGAGGTCGCCCCAAAACGGCCCAAGAGGCAGCAACAAAGGCTCCAAGGCAGGCCAAGAAGGCCCCAACACGGCCCCAGCATGGCCCAAGAGGTCTCCAAAAGGACACAAGAGGGAAAGCGCAGGGGCCTTCGGAGCTTTTTCGCCACATGTTGCCCCAAGACTCCGAACTGTACTGCCCAAGAGGCCCCGAAGAGGCGTCCAAGAGGCCTCCGAGAGGCCCCCGAGAGGCCCCAAGGGCCCTCTCAAGAGTCCTCCAAAAAAGCCCCCGAGAGGTATCCCAAGAGACACAGCAAGCATCCACGAGGCCTCTGGGGACTGCCTTGTTTTCGGCGATTGTCCTGATTATCTTGGGAAAACGCTGGCCGATAATCTGACCTTCCCGGTCTGGGCAACTCCACATATGCCTCTGAGCACAGCTGACATGCGTGCTTTCGCACGTGGGCCCGCGGCTTGCGCTCGCCGCAACCACAAATGCATCTCGTGGGTGCCACAAACCCACCAGCGAGGAAAGCCAGGCCACGACAGTACCACAGCAGCTTGCGGGCACCATGTTATGCGCCACAACATGCCAGACCTTGCCAATGCCACAATGGCCTGCGAACGCACGGCTGTGCCTGCGAACGCAAGCAATTTGCCTGTGATCCACCACAACAGTCTGCAACCGCTGCAACGTGCCTTAGAGCAACATCGTGCGCTTGCAACCACCACGCCGCGACGGAAACGGGACCCTGTCAGTACCACGATCCGCCACCGTTTTCCCTGGCACGTTGAAGCGTGTCAGCATGCGAGATGATGTCTGGTAGGGTTTCTGTAATTTCTAAGGCCCCCCCATCCTTCTCGCAGCGGACTTCTGCTTGCGTCGCCCCTCCTCCCGAAACCGCGATCCCTCGCGAAATGCAAAAAAGACCCACGCTCTCGAGAGCATGCGCACACACGCCCGCGCACGCGCGCCCGCGACACTCGCAAGCGCCACCAGAAACTGGAAGGCGCAATCCTGGTGCACCTCGAAGAGAGAAGCCGGCGGCCAGCGCAAGGCCACCTCAGCCACCCCCTCCCCCGACGCCCGCAAACGTGGGCGGGCCGGGCAGGGCGCGGCGGCGCGACCACCCTCGAGGGGGCACCCGAGGCCGAACGCAGAGACGGCAAATCCCGACACCCAAAGGAGCGGAGCTCACACCGGGGCAGAGCGTGCTAGGCCAGCCCCTCCGGTGCATAATCCTTGCGGCCAGATGCAGTGCACATGTGGGAGCAGGCAGGGCTCAGCCGAGGCCAGGTCCATCCAAGACAACCGGGGCCAGCATCCGCGCCGCGACCCCACAGGGACGGACGAAATCTGATTGATTGGCGCGGATGCGGCCCTCGCCGGCAAGATCACCAGTTCCTCGCGCACGGCTTGGCCGCCGCAGCTAGACCATGCATGAGCAGTTGACTCGTGCGCGACCTTACTACCTGCAACTATACTGCTGCCAGGAAACAGCCTCGGCCTCATCATGCGCGTGGTCACGTGCGTGCATGCGTGCGCGCTGTCGTGCGTGCATGCATGGCCGTGCGTGTGTTCGTGTTTGCGTGCGTGCGTATGCGCGTGTGTATGTGTATGTGCGTGTGTATGTGTATGTGTATGTGTCTGTGTCTGTGTCTGTGTATGTGTATGTGTATGTGTATGTGTATGTGTATTTGTATGTGTATGTATATGTGTATGTGTATGTGTATGTGTATGTGTATGTGTGTATGTGTATGTGTATGTGTATGTGTATGTGTATGTGTATGTGTATGTGTATGTGTGTGTGCGTGTGTGTGCGTGTTTGTGCGTGTATGTGGGGGAAATGTGCGTGTGTGTGTATGTAGGTGTGAATATGGATGTGGGTGTGGGTGTGGGTGTGGGTGTGGGTGTGGGTGTGGGTGTGGGTGTGCATATGCGCATGCGTGTGCGTGTGCGCGTGCGTGTGCGCATGCGTGTGCGCATGCGTGTGCGTGCGTGTGTGTGTGTGTGCGTGTGTGCGTGTGTTTGTGTGATTGTATGTGTGTTTTTTTGTTGCGTGTTTGTGTGTGTGTGTGTGCGTGCGTGTGTGTGCGTGTGCGTGTGTGTGTGTGTGCGCGTGTGATGTGAACCTGTGTGTGTGAATGTGTGTGTGCGGGTGTGTGTGGGTGTGTGTGTGTGTGCGTGTGGTGTGTGCGCGTGCGTGCGTGCGTGCGTGTGTGCGTGTGCGCGCGCGTGTGTGTGTGTGTGTTGTGTGTGTTGTGTGTGTGTTGTGTGTGTTGTGTGTGTGTGTTGTGTGTGTGTTGTGTGTGTTGTGTGTGTTGTGTGTATGGTGTGTGTATGGTGTGTGTGCGTGTGTGCGTGGGTGTGTGCGTGCGTGCGTGTGTGTGTGTGGGTGTGTGCGTGTGTGCGTGTGCGTGCGTGTGCGTGCGCGCGTGCTTGCGCGGGCGCGCG